CCCATCATATTTCTGAAATGAAAGCCATCATCATGAATCTTATTTTAGGTACATATCTGTATTGTAATCTTACTGTGTGCCTAAAATTGGAGAAAGTGGTGCCTCACTATGGGCCAGATTTACTAACAGCTTGCACTAAAGCAAACCCTCTTTTGGTGTTAAAAAACTACTGTCATGATTTACTTAAATCGTGCAGTGAATAGGTTTGGACACCGTCATTTTGTGGCTGACCTCACTGCATATGCATTTGTTGGAGTTTTCCTTTCAGATGCAAAATTTATGAGAGGAGAGTATTTAAATGAATCACGCAACATGATTTACTTAGGTTCGCACTAGTCAATTTCCTGGTGTTTGCGCCATTATTTACCGCCCAAAAAAGCATGACTTAACCAATTTGTGCCTGTGTTAGTAGATTACACGCACCTTATTATAGCTCTGCTTGTTTGCACTGCTCTTGGTAGATTGCATTGGTCATTATGGAAATGCAACGGTTGCGTCTTTGTTCTTTATTTTGCGCATTGTCAGTAAATCACCTGCTGAATTTTCCACTCCCATCTGCACTTTTATGGGGTTGTGCTCTCACGCTAATTTGCCCTGTTTAGTAAATCTGGCCCTGTCTTAATGCAGTCAAATTATAAAAGTAGCATTCTAAGACCTTTATTACCTGTCACCCGTAATACTCCAGCCTTTTTTATCCAATATTTTAGATCACTTTCTATTTCAATGGAAGACATGTGACAACATTGTTGGAGAGATTGTGTCCTTTTGTTTTATAGCTGAAGAGATTTTGTTTTCATCTCCTCCCATCATCATCTCCTCCTCACTTTGTAATGATCATATTTGACATTCTTAGCTGATGCCCTCATTAGTATGTGCATTTGTTATCCTGCTTGGAATGCTGCTTGATCGTCATAAACAGAAAGAACAGTCATGTCCTACCAATGTAAATTTGTTCAGCCTCTGGATTAGTTTCATGGGGTTTTGCAAGACATTTGAATTGTATGCAAATCATTCTTTTTTGTTTATAACGGGTAGTTGTGCACTTCATTTAAACTTTTATTTAATTCCCAATATATTTGGCTCTTTCCGGTTAAAGTTAATGGCATGGAACTATACTGGGACACAGTTTATAGAGCGAAGGATCCAACACGTCGGCTAGCGGCAAAACTGATCGACTTGAATCTTTAAACCAGCACAGAAATCAGATGCGTGGCTTGACATATGTTCTGTGTATCCTTACAGAGGAAGAGCAGAGGACAGTCCTGTGCTCCACCCTCAGTGAGATCCTGGAGTCTGCCTGCCTCAATAAGACACAGGCCTTTCACCTGGCCACCTTGCCTCATGCTAAAACCACAGACAGCAGTGACATCACTGACAGCCACCCAGAGCCTGAGTCGAGCCAACCTACTGACTCACCGAGTAAGAAAATTAGCAACAGTCATTCTCAATGTTGTACAGATACTGAACAGGGCCAAGTGACAGTTTTTTTAATAATACCTAACACTAAGGGTGGGTGATATAGCCTCAAAATTATATCACGATATTTCAAGAATATTTGCGATAATGATATTCATGACGATATAGAAAAAAAAAATGTAAAACAAAGTTTTATTGGTGATTACAGCTAGCAGGCAGCAGCATTTATTAGTGCAAACACAATGAAGGGCATTTTCCATCCTTTTCCAATGAGCTACTGTCGTTGATGACAGACTTCCTAATTCGAAGTGTAAATCTATTGTCATAAGGTGGCAGAAGCAGCATTATAGTGCAATAGTAGTGACCAGTGTTGGGCAAGTTACTTAAAGTAATTAGTTATAGTTACAAATAGTAACTGAGTTACATCATTATAAAAGTAACCAATTCAGTGTTTCCCCTAGGTTTACGGCTTTTGGGGGGTTTAATAGTTAAATTAAATTTTATTAATCAAAAAAACATGTCTAATTAATTAAAATCATGAAACTTAAACAATTTAACATCAATTTATCAAAAGTTTAACAAAAATTACATATTTAGGGCCCTATGAAATGTTTTATTTTTACCAACCTTATGTTTTATTGTTACCAAAACCTGTCTAGTTATTTGAAAGCATAAAAACACGTTTTATTTATTCTTCCAATAGCCTAATGATTTTTTTCCTCTGAAATTCTGTGTTGTGTATTTACATTTAAGGCATAAAATGATATATGATATATAATGATATATATTTTAATTAATGAAAATTAAACCAATTTTATTTTTGGAAAATAAAGGGGATTTAATATTACAATTAAAACATTGAAGAAATATTGAATGATTATTCCTTAAATATAAGGTTTTAATAATTTTAGTAGTAGTAGCAGCCCGTTACATACATTATACTCAACAATAGTAATATATTTGTGTGTGTGTGTGTGTGGGTGTGTTGCGCGCACGCATCGGGCGGAACTCCACTGTGCGCGATGCAGAGAGCACGACCATGTAATGTAGAGACCGAAATTACATGCCGTCGTGTAAATAAGATAAATAACATAAGGCTATTTAGTTTTGTTTAATAAAAGAACGAGGTATAGACCTGTTCTATAGGAAAGGTATCTTTAAATGACTTCTGTTGTGATCTGGCGTAATAGAGAAAATAAAATTAACTTGACCTTCAAGGGGGTCTGGGGGTGCCTTTGGGGGAGCGGGCCGCCCCCCTAATATAATGGCAGGGGAAACACTGCATTTACTGCATTACAACTGTTGCGTTACTATTTTTTTTTATATATATATATATATTCAAATATGTCAAATAACTTGGATGCCTCCAATATTAAATGTTAAATGAATGAAATGGATACTAAATGGAATAAATTATTATTTTTAAACATTGTACACTAATTAGTGCTGTCAAATGATTAATCTCGATTAATCGCATCCAAAATAAAAGTTTTTGTTTGCATAATGTTTGTGTTCTGTGTATATTTATTATGTATATATAAATACACACACATTCAGTATATATTTTGAAAATATTTACATGTCTATATTCATATTCTTATCATTTATATTATAAATAAATATATTTAATATATAAACATAACATATTTTTCTGAAATATATACATGCATGTGTGTGTATTTATTTATATATATATATATATATATACATAATAAATATACACAGCACATATACATATATTATGTAAACAAAAACCTTTATTTTGGATGCGATTAATCGTTTGAAAGCACTAACACTAATACAAAACAACAATTTAAAAATACTTATTTAACACTAAACATCTATTATACATTATACCAACAAGGCGCAATTTAACTTAAAATTAATAAGTTAGGAAAATAATATTTTGTGGCTTTTTTTATGACCCCCTTCTTGAATCAGGCATGCAAAGAAATGCAGCCTTGCTGAGCAGAAGGGAATTCTTTTAAAACATTAGAAAATATTACAGATGCCAATTTAAAAACTCTGTGTGAATGTTATAATAAATGTATTAATTGAGCAGTTGTAATCATTATTATTGTCTTTTTTATTTTATTTAACAGAACAACAGTAAAATTACAATACTAACATTTATGAATTTTGAGTACTAAACGATCTCTCACTGTCGGTGCTTGTAATGATTTTTGCGTCTTTCTCGGACGGTTATAAATGCTTCCACACTGCCGTCATGTTTGCTGCATTAGTGCGCGCCTCTATTTGATCTTGTCACGTCATTGTTCGTTACAATTTATTCAGTCTTTTTGCTTATTCCTAGCATCCCTCACCGAACATCATTGCGTCGCTATATCATTGATATTGCGATATGACACTTTTTTTATCATGTAAAAATGTATACCGATGTTATCGTGGCCAGTATGATATGGCACACCCCTCTTAATCTTAACTCTTTTTTCACACTGAATGCATACATTTACAGTAGATGATCCAACACAGTATGCTAGTATAAACTTGCGGAGATGTGTATTCTTATTAACCGTGAACTTACAAATAATTTTCGCTGGACTGATGTGTCTTGTTAAATATGTTTGTGTTTTTGCATGGTGTGTGTGTAGCTGCTTTGGCTGCTGAGGAGCTTGGCTTTGAGAGGTTTCACAGCATCATACAGTAAGTGCACAAACTCTCTTTCCAGACTGCGTCACTTGTTTCTCTTTCCTTATGTCTTCACTGGCTTACCCTTTCCTTCCCCTTGTGTTACAAATATGCAAATTCCTGGCAGAAATCTCCAGTAGTGCAGAAGCAACTAATTTCACAATGAAATAAGGGGTGCAGCTTAAAAAAAACTTCTGGATAAATGTGTAAGTCAGTAAGGATCTTTCCCAATTGATCGTTTCGTTGTGGTTGCTCCTTCCTCAGGAAGAGGACTCTCAGAACTGATGTGGAATTGAGAGAGGTGGTGTTGTCACTGCACGACACTTGGAAGAACAAATTCGGGGTTCTGCTATTTCTGTACTCTGTCATACTTACAAAGGTATAACTTTACATATCCCGCCCATGAAAAATATTGTTGCCAGTTTTTGAAAATTCGTTTTAAAAACAAGAGAATAATGAGCTTGCATGGTAAAAACCTCTCATCTACACTACTGTTCAAAAGTTTGGGTAAGATTTTTTGGTTTGTTTGTTTTTGAAAGAAGTCTCTTATGCTCACCATAGAAATACAGTAAAAACCCTAATATTGTTTAATATTAATACAATTTAATATAATTGTTTTATGTTAGTTTTAATACATTTTAAAATTAATAAAATTTTTTGGCAAAGCAGAATTTTAAGCAGCCAAAAAAAAAAAAGATCTTACTGACCCAAACTAAAATGACTGTGAAGCATGTTTTATTGGATTGTACTTTTTTTAATGTAAATGGACAAAGGTTTTATTCAGAGGTGTGTTTAACTGATTTATTTAACCCTTTAAGACCTGATGGCATTTTTGCCTCACTGAAGTTTGTTTTTTTCTGAGGGACCTGCACAAAAATAATGACTCATAACTCGAAGACTGTAGCAAGGAAAGTCAAAAGGTAGGTATCGTCTGATAGAAATTTTTCTATATTTTTAATTGGGAAAAAAATCTTTGCATTTGAATATTCTCATGTTGAGAAGTAGGTGATAAAATGTAAGAAAAATTAGTGTGGTCAAGGGAAATTTTTCATATTCTTATTTGACGTTCAATATCTCATGAAAGAAATAAGGTAGAAGAAAAATGTTGGTGATGTTCCCCAACATGTGTGCTGTATGTGAATTGAATTTTGTGACTTAAAGCCATTACACATATAAACTTAATTTATAGATGTGTATTTCGATGATTTATTCGTTTTATTAGCTGTCCCTTTCATGCATCACATGCAATGTTAGCGGTGTTCCTGCATGGCTTTGACCAACAGATGGCACTAGCGTGCTGTCACTCTTGCGTTGCGCATGCGTCGAGTAAGTCTTTTTTATTTTATTTTTTGTGGATTAGGCTAAGTCATTATTATGAGAAAAGTCATTATTTCGAGAAAGTTTCTCATTATTACGAGAAACTAAGTCATTATTATGAGAAAAGAAGTCATTATTTCGAGAAAGTTTCTCATTATTACGAGAAAATAAGTCATTATTACGAGAAAATAAGTCATTATTACGAGAAAAGAAGTCATTATTACGAGAAAAGAAGTCATTATTACGAGAAACTAAGTCATTATCACGAGAAAAGAAGTCATTATCACGAGAAAAGAAGTCATTATTATGAGAAAAGAAGTCATTATTACGAGAAAGTTTCTCATTATTATGAGAAAAGAAGTCATTATTATGAGAAAATAAGTCATTATTATGAGAAGAAATCATTATTTTGAGAAAGTTTCTCATTATATGAAAATAAGTCATTATTATATGAAAATAAGTCATTATTTCGAGAAGGTTTCTCATTATTACGAGAAAAGAAGTCATTATTACGAGAAATTTAAGTCATTATTATGAGAAAAGAAGTCATTATTTTGAGAAAGTTTCTCATTATTACGAGAAAAGAGGTCATTATTACGAGAAAAGAAGTCATTATTACGAGAAAAGAAGTCATTATTATGAGAAAAGTTATTATGAGAAAAGAAGTCATTATTACGAGAAAAGTCATTATTATGAGAAAAGAAGTCATTATTACGAGAAAAGTCATTATTACGAGAAAAGAAGTCATTATTACGAGAAAAGAAGTCATTATTATGAGAAATGAAGTCATTATTACGAGAAAAGAAGTCATTATTATGAGAAAAGAAGTCATTATTATGAGAAATGAAGTCATTATTACGAGAAAAGAAGTCATTATTA